CTTACAGGAAAATATAAATGTACAGGTAAATTTAAAAGTCCATTGAGAAGTCGGAGGCTTTATTATTTGCAGTGGAGATATCTCACAAAAAAAACAACTGCTGATAGGTTCCTGTGGTGAGCGTCCAGTACTATGAAATGGAAGTCAAGCAGCACTTCCCACCAAATGAATTATCTATTCAAAACCAGATTGGGTGTCATCTCTAAATGTAAATTTCGTTTTTCTGTGTATTCGTGATTTCATGTCAGTCTAGATTATATATATATATACATAGAATATTTCTCAAACTGACTGTTTGTTTCATGCCGACGACAATATTCATACATTGGTAATTGATTCCATTTGCGCATATTTCACTGGACAACAACACAAAGGCAACTAAAGACAATTTTTATTTTAAGGGAGATACTTCTTTGGAGTTTGCAAACGATTTCGCCTAACAATTTTTGGTAAAAATTTATCACAAAATTTAAATACCGACCATGATAAACAACATGAGAGAAAGTTATTGATCAGTATTTACCATGTCTTAGTAATGATTTATTTATTTATTCATCTATCCTTTTTTTCTTAGGAAATGGAGGTAAACTAAAAATAAAAGTATTGTGAAGAGTAATTTAAGAGTAATGCATTTACAAGTAAAGTGGAGAGATATTCACACTATCGAAAGATCCACTCCATAGTAGTTGTTTTGTCCGCATAATATTTGCCAAAGCTTATCTAAATGGTACGATATGTAGTCTCATATGTATATTTTCTTCATTTTCAGCCACTGGTTTTTCTGCAACTTCTTATAAATAATTGAAATTTCCAAAGAGATGTTAACCATAACCGAAAAGTCAAAAATCGTATCCATCATGATCCATTCTTTTACTTCCGATAAACTGCGAAATAACATATGATGACCGACTGAGTTTCCATGTAGAAGTTTGAATAGAAATGCAGTAGTTCAACTTACTACTCCCACAAAAATAGCGAACAAAATCAAAAGAATCATAGTTAATGGAAATATACAATAAAAAGAATGGTAACATGGAGAAGAAGAGGACTTAATAGATCTAGGAAATTAAAAACAGTAGATGTACATACACTAGCGAGGAATCATTCAAGACACACTGGATGCAAAGATCCACCAGCCCGGAACAAGCTAGATTTAGGAGAAGGCAAGTCATGTTCTGACCAAATTGCAACTCTACGCATCATCATCACAGAACAAAGCATGGAATGGCAATCAAACTTCTACCTCAACTTTATAGACTCTGAGAAGGCCTTTGACAGACAATGTCGACCGCGAAGTAATTTGGAAACTACTCGAGTACTACGGCGTACCCCAAATATTCACCAACCTTATTCAACAGCTGTACGACAACGGCACATGTCAAGCGATCCACAACGGAAAACTCAGCGAGGCGTTTGGAGTAAAGACAGGAGTCAGACAAGGGTGATTATTATCACCAATGATATTCCTAATTATGGTGGACTGACTGGATTATGCGTCAGACAGTGGGAAACGAGAAGACAGGGATATCCTGGACAGACAGACGTGAAGAACCTGGAAGACCTGGATTTCGTGCGTGGATGATTTACGTTTGATGTCACACAAAATCGAAGACTTACAAGCGAAAACCGACAAACTAGTCGAAGAAGCAGCCGGCGAAGACAGGACTCCAAGTGAACATAGACAAGACGGAGGTTATGAAAATAACCAACCAACCAACCAACCAACAACAACAGCAGCAACATCCAGCGCCAATCACCATCAACGGGAGGGATTTGAAAGAGGTTACTTCATTCACTTATCTAGGGAGCATTGTCTCAACTATAGGCAGTTGGAACGGACGAGGATGTCAAATCGAGCGATAATCGGGAAGGCGAGAAACACATTCATCAATCTGAAAACGATCTGGAAATCTTCGTCACTCAACATCAACAACAAAATATGGTCGGATTTTCAATACAAACAACGTCAAGTCAGTTCTTCTCTACGGATCAGAAGCTTGACGAGCTGGTTACAAAGAATATTTAAACAGGCTAACTCAGACCTTTATCAACAACTATCTCCGCCCCATACTGAAGATCAGATTGCCGGGCCGGAAAGAACCACCAACAAGAAACTATGGGAAGAAACAAAACAAGAACCAATCGCCCAACAAATATGCAGGAGAAAGTGGAGATGGATTGGACACTCGCTGAGGAAGCGGCTGTGTGAAATTGCGCGTCAGGCCATTGCTTGAGTGGAACTCGAAAGGGAAGCGGCGAGTTGGTCGTCAGTGCAAGGCTGACATGGAGGAGATCGTGTGAAGAGGAGTTGAAAGAGTATGGACTAACCTGGATGCAGGTGAAAAGTACAGCAAAAGACAGAAGCAAATGGAGAGGTGCAGTTGAAGCCCTATGTTCCACTAGCAACCCAAGGGAGCAATAATAATATAATAAAATAATAAATGTACATGCACAATTGAGAACGGTTCTGAACCGAGTAAGCAACAGTCTCAAACTATTGGTTCCTAGAGTCCAGAAGTCTCTAACTAGGCAATCTACACCTCTCTCCGCGGCTGAAAGCAACAGTCTAAGACTTCATAAATTTATACTAGGTTTCGATTTAACCAACCCTTAACTCTTTCCCAAACTAATCTTACATCACATGACATTATAGTACGAGGAACGTGGCTCAGCATGCGTGACATATATCCTAGTAATCTCAGATTCTTGACTTTGTCAAGTGACTTGTACCCCTACCTAACACTACACGCCTGATCTCACTACTGCTTACCACATTACACCTCTCACCTGGTTGTCCGAGCATAAAATCCTTTATAATTGCTCCTGAAACCTACCTGATGAGGTGCAAGAGTGCAGTCGTGAGTTGAGAGGATGCTCAGAGTCCGACCAGATGATATTCGCCGATTTCCTTCATGAGTCCAAGTGTTTGTCAACAACTGTTTTAAGAGGTTGGTTCAGCAAAACCCAGTAATACTATGGTGTTTTATGGCACATTTTTTCACTAAAATATTGGTAATTTTTAATTTTTAGGAATGCCTACACTATTTAAATTATCATACATCAGGTGAAAATTATCTTCTCTCTATTTTAATAATTAAAATCACAGAAAACAGATGATATACATACCAAGATAAGAATGGAAAATACATTAAAGCACTGTAGCATATGTTAAATAATTCATACTATAAGAAATCAGGTAAAAATTGTTGAAGAGCCAAGCTAGACTGGGAGAGAGTAAAATACTTACGAAGTGATTTCATATCTCGTAGAACCTCTATCATTAAAGAGAACAGCCCAATAAAGTTCTGAGTTACCACATATTCTAAATAATTCCTGTCAAAGTCCAAAGGTCGACTGCAATACTTTCACAATGGTTTTCATGTAGACCACATCCGACAAACCTACATTTTCCTGCATGGTTCAGACCAGCATTCAATCATTCATGCCTACGATCCTTTTCGGTCTCATTTTGCATCCAAAGACAGCATACAGAGGAAGGCAAAGTAGGCGTGTGTTTATGTGTCTCTTATTTACCGATATATTTATTTTACCTAAGATTAGCAAAGTAGTCCACTTATGTGGGCAATCATATAATGGCACCTGCAGCCCACCTACTGACTGTATCTAAAAATTTCCTCCTTTTAGCGGATCCATTTTGAAAGACAGTGGGACAGTTTTAATTTCTTTTCCAATTTAAAGCAATTGAAAAGTCGTTTGCATTCATGTCACCTGTTTATCTGACATTAACCAGCAACCCTAAATTAAGTAGTGACTTAGCTCAAACACTACTTTTCTTGCAAACCCAGTAGGATAGCACACCTTAAAAAAAGCTAAGTGGTCTTTAATCACTTTCTGACCTTCAAAGCTTTTCCAAATTCAATTACTGATTTTTTTGAAATACATAAGCTCTCACTTTCCACCATTAGAAGTGTTGATGTTACTGAAAGTCGGTAGTTTAGTGTCTCATCTACAACAAATAGCAAGAAATATGGTGTTCCACTTTCATGTTAAGCAACCTCAACTTATTATAATGGGATATTTGCCAGTCTAACTTAAACATATAAAAATAAACCTCGCCTACTTTACTAACTGGTCCTAAGATCAAAAAAAGAGGGGAAAGGATGAGCGAATTCACCTCTATCATCAACCTACAACTGCAGGAATTACGGATGGCAATGTCAAAGGCGAGATCGAAAAATCAAGTAAAACCATCATTAATCTGAAGTCAGGTAGAAATCTTCGGTACACAGCATAAGGAACAAAATTCGAAATTTCTCTATTAGTATCAAGTCAGTCATTGCTTATCTATGGCTGAAGGACTTAGTGAGGACGTAATGAAAAGTATTCTCGACAGCGTGATGGATACTACCGTTGACAGATGTCTTTAGTGTGTCGATAGTGAAGGTGAGACTGCAGGTCATGAAGGATTATCAACAAGGAACTCTGGCAACGCACCAGTCAACAATCCATCATTCAACAAATATGGGAAAGTGAACTGGACACACTGAGGAGACCGTTAAGTGATGTTATACGACAAGCTCTCGAGCGGGACCCGAGTAGGAAACAATGAGTTAGGTGTTAGAAGTTGACTTGCAGAAGATCGTGGTAGAAGGAGACGAAAGCTAATCGGTGACCGTGAGACAGATAAAAGGGACTTCAGAAAATAAGATTAAATGGTGATATGTTGTTGAAGTCCACTCGGAACTGAAGTGAATGATAATAGTACAGAAATAAATAGTCAGATATTCAATTTACCACAACTGTGTCTATATCGAGAGTTTTTGTGGTATTAAATATATACATAAAATATTTTCCTACCATCTCTCGTCGCATCAACTATTCATCTGTGAGTACTTCAGCCTAAATTAAAATGCAGCGAAAATCAAATTAACTGACTGATGACTACTTCAGTTAATTAAAAAATAACAAAAAAAGTTAACAGTAAAACTAATTCTAATAATAATATGGTTATGATGATCATTTAAGAATCAAGAACTCACTTGATTATTGATTTCAGTTGCATCGCTATCATTCGCTTCAATTTGACCAACTAAATGGTTAATTTTAGCATCTTCTGATACGCTTAGCTGATATAATGAATTCTCAAATGTTGGCGGACAGTCATTCACATCATCAATATAAACATACAGATTCCCGTGAACAATATGCTGTTTCGGTGCTTTACGACTAAACAAATCAACCTCTGTTGATAAATTCGTCATATTATTACTATTATAACCATTTGATGTAATCCATTCGGACTGATCATAAACAGTAACTGATAGATTGAAATGGTCTATCTGTTCCCTGTCAAATGGTCTCAAACTAGTCACTGTACCAGTCTTTGAATCAACCATAAAGTCTTCTGTATGTTGACCGTCTAACCGATAGCCTAAAAGAGCATTAGGACCAATATCAGGATCGTGTGCATCGATTTTATAAACTTTTGTTCCTGACGGACTATTTTCCTTCATATGAGCAATCATTTTATTCTGTTTAAATTGAGGACCATGGTCATTAATATCCTCAATGATAAGGCGCAATCCAATCTGTGAAGATAACGGTGGGTGACCGTAATCATAGCATGTTAATGTGGCGAAATGATCAGTCTGTTGTTCCCTATCAAAAGTACCATAAGTTAAAAGTTTAAATTGGTTTTTAGCGCCTTTAAATAATGGTTCTAGTATTAAACCATTATGATTTAGTTGACAATTAGTGCTCAAATGCGTTTCCGAATCAACAGTTTGATACGGATAGTTTAATTTTTGTGTACTGCTCTCAACTAACATGTCTGATTTAGTAAGAGTAGGATCCAAAATTTCATCAGAATCTGTCACTGTCACTGTCCCTATCAGCTGACCTGGGGGCTCATGCTCTGTAACATATAAAACAACTGTTCGACCATGAATATAATCTGGAATATTAGGGCGAAATGACTGACCCGAATGAATGATGGGAGACTTTTGTTTGATTACTGGACGCACTGAAATCACAGGAGGGTGATCATTAACATTTTGAATACGTACATTCAATTTCTGTGTTATAATATGTTTTCCATCTGTTACAGTTATTGGTAAAATATGTAAACGATGAGCTTCGTAATCTGGTGCCCTTAGAAGGGTGACTTCACCTGATTTTGGATCTATTCTAAATGTTTCTCTAACATCCAAACCAGCTGATGTTCCCAGTGCATACCTGAGCTTTTCTTTATCTGATTCATCATGGTCAACTGCTTGCACTCTATAGATTACTCGTCCGGCTGGAGTATTTTCAGGAAGTTGTATAAATAATTCCCCATTTTCTAGGTGAACCGTAGGCAGGTGAACTGTAGGGGATCCAGTAGCAACTTTTGGTTGATATTGGTCTGTTGCAACAAATTCAGGTGGATGATCATTGATATCAGTGACTGTAATATTGATGGTTACAGTACCTGTCAAACTGATTGGTTGACCACCATCAGTAGCTAACAGAGTTAATCTTATTAGCTTAACTTTAACACTTTCTGAATGAAAGATTTTTGTTGAACTTAAAACATCAGACTCATCAGCAACATCATCATCAAAATCTAAATCCTGCATAATCCGAAGCCATAGACGAAATACACGTGGATTACAATTGATAGCCTGATAACTCCAAGCACCATTTAAATTAAAATCTGGAGTGGATATTAGTTCTGAGTCTAAATGAAAGGCATTGCGGGCTAAATAGGTATTGTCTGAATTTATATCGGAAGACTGAATCTTTGTACTCTGATCAAGTAATGAATAGCTTACAGTTGTATTAATAGGTCCACAGTCTGGATCATTAGCTGTTGGAAGTGGTATTCTTGTCCCAATTGGTGTATGTTCTGGTACACTGATTTGAATAACGTTCTCCTGCCATGAAGGGGCATTATCATTTATATCTAGAATAAATATTTTTATCAAAATGACACGATGCTCTTGATCATCGTTATCACGTGAATTAGGGTTATCCATAAACTGTAATGCTTGTAATAAAATTTCACAACTTGATTTGGTAGTATGTCCCAAGGTGTTCAGATGATTTACTTCACTTCCCATAAGTTGATCAATTTCTTTTAATCGATTAGTATTCGATAAATGGGGATGAAGACTACCGCCAACCATATTTGCACTATTTGTGCCAACAGGGCATATTGTCTCACGATCAATACGACCACGTGTATATAATAATCCATTAGATTCATTTAAATAAAAGTATCCACTGTGTGATAACAACTGGAACGTACTGAATGAATGTGACTGTAGGACTGTATTGTAAGGAATATTATTTAAATTTCCCACTAATGTATTAGGTGGACATTCTTCAGTGATAAAATATTCTATAGTATACTGTGTATTTGTAGTTTTTAAATGTACTATCAAAAGAAACTGAAAGACAATGGTAATATGTAAAACAAAAAAGTATAAATTCATTTCAGACTCTCAATTTTTTTCTGTTAATTAGTGATTATCAGTGTACAATGACCAATTACTTGATTGTTTTAAATGCTAACTTCTTAGATGAATACTAAAAATGTACATAATCTGTTAGAATGTTTGACTTCAATTGATAAATAGCATGCATTTGAGGAAGATATATGCATAAATGTATTGATGATTTGAGAGCGATGGGTTGCATAAATGTGGAAAATTTACATCCAGTATCTGGTCATACGATGAATACCTATTTGCCCATGCATTTGCATGCATTCTGAATACATACGAAAGTGTATAGAAGTGTGTAGACAGTGTATTTCCCTCTTAAATCGACTATATATTGTGTTGATAAACAAAATGTCTAGTTATTTATTTGTTTTAATGATAATATGACCAAAAGCACCACCTTCAATTGGTTGCCTATATTCTCACTTCATTAAAAGAGAAAGAAGTAAACTAGAAATATTTTTAAAAATATAGGACATTTGTTGGTTAGTCCCTTGTTCATTTGTTCATTCACTCACTCATTTATTCACCCATTTATTAAAAGAATTAAATGTAGACAAGTTCAGTTTATATACATACTTTGGTGTTGCTTTTTTCTCTTTTGTATTATTTTATATTGAATAGATATTTGTTCTTCACATTTTTAAGGAATAAATAAATGCACACATTAGAATGTTTTCCCATTTTAAAACTGACCAATCAAATATAAGCGATATGTCTGTAACACAATCAGTGTACCATAGACTATCACCACCTACTGTTAGCTTTTTAACTGTTCATATCAATGAAGAAGAAAATTCAATTCAATCTTCAGTAATCCTCTGTCAATTATGGTAGTATAGATAAGTTTTGATGTTAAAATTAGCATATATATATATACATATATATATATATGTATATATACAGTCCAATGTATACATATAAAGAGGAAATCAGTGGTTGGGAAACTTCAGTCTGCATTTCTCACATTACAGGGAAAGGACGTGTAGATTTTACTGAGCAGAACAAAACATGAAGAAGAACAAGCATAAACAATAGGATTGACCTAATTTACTACTTCTTGTTGGTTGATTATATATTGAATCAAAACGTTCTGTCTCTGTGTTGACATGTCGGCTTCCATCGCGGAGGTTTCAATGATGTCTGATTATTGACATGATGCTATCTGATGGATCGTGAATAGCAGTGGAATCCACAATGCTCATTTTATCCTATTTGCAACTCGCCGACTAGATGTACTTGCAATCCTCAGTGTGTGATAATGTTAGGCTCTTGGAATGATGTGTGCTTGGTTCCACTCAGAGTGAGAAAATCACCACCACTCACTGGGAATTGCAGGTATATCTAACTGATGAGTCCTAAATAAAATGAAATGAGCATCAGTGATTCTACTGCTAGTCACCGTCCAAGAAGTAATCAGTGTCTGTAGATTTGTCTATAAATCAGTTTGACTAATATCATGATTAGTGGTTAACACTTTAACATCGAAATAATACTTATTTGTGTTGTCTCACTCCAAAATGTAAGGAATTACAATATAAACTTAGATGTAGTTTTTATTATATTCATCTCAGAGTTATATAAAATCTATTTACTGAATAGATCATAATTTTGAGATCAGCCTCCCTTTTACATGGTACGATTAGTCTGCACACATGACAGCCTAATGGAAAACATAAAATGGTGCAAGTGAAATCAATATTTCTGCTTTGTTTATTTGTAATGGCATTTGGTAAGGTGATAATTGTGTAACATAATATGAGATAAGCTCGATACCCAATGATTTTAGTTGAAAAACTACGTGAAAGTACAACTTGCATGGTTGAAATTTTATTGGATAAGGTAAAAGGTAATTGTTTATGCTAAATCCCTAAAGCCCCAGAATCACTGAAAACGGCCCCATAGATTGCAACAGAGATGTACACGCTACTATTACAGAAGGATTGGAAAGAAAAAAAATACCTACTGATTGGAAGTAGGAGGTGACTCAAGTTTCCTCATGAAGTGGTGCGGAATCATGCTCTAGTCTACTCCAAGAAAACTATACAACTGCATTATTCTGATGAGACTAAGAGATGTACTGAATATGAAACTCCGTCCCGAACAAATTGTATTCAGCTAAGGTAAATCATGTATGAGTCTAATTTCAATGCTACATACCGTCATCATCATAATCATCGTGATCATCAAACAGAGCATGGGTTAGCAGTCAACACTTCACCCCAGCTCCATCGACTTTGAAAGGCTTTGGATAGCATGAACCGTAAAGTAAAGTGGGAACTGCATCAACACTATGGAAAGCTGTAACACAAATCTTTATCAACGTCATTCAGCAGCTGGATATATGGTGATCCGACATGTCAAGTAATTGGCATGGGAAAGCTCATCTAAGTCAATGGAGTGGAGTCAGGAGTGAGATAAGTCTGGTGTTTACTATCACCGATGATATTCCTCATTGTGGTGGACTGACTGGAACATGCGGGAGACCGTGTTTAGTAAGAAGATGATGGGTATACACGTTGGGTCGACGATGTGGAATTTGTGGATGATTTATGTCTAATGTCACTCACACAAACTCAAAGACATGGACGCAAACGTTAACACGTTGATAGAAGCATCAGCGAAGATAGGACTTAAGATGGACACAAAGAAGATATCAACAGGCACCAACCATTAACAGGTGCAGAAATAGTAAGAAGTCTATTCTTTCCCTTCCCTAATTAGCACAGTTTCAAATACAGGTGGGATGCATGGAAATGAAGGCAGGATAGGAATAGTAAAACCCAATGTGAGATAGCCTAAAACAATAAGCAACAGGGTACTCTGATAGACAACGGACCAATCCAGGAGGGAACTATTACCTAATAGATGTGCATAATGAAAGGCAAATCAATTGAATTCATACTGAAGAGACTGTTGAATAACATCACATGGCAGGCCATCCTTAGAGTTTAAAACACGAATAGTAAACTACGAGTCAGGCGTGGGTTCCAGGGTGACGTTGGGGATCATTTGATGAGGAACCGAAAGCTTGCGGGAAGTCTTGGACTCAGCTGAAAAAAAACTTCAGAGAATGCAGTGAAATGAATACTGAAGCCCTATATTCCATGGAGAATCCAAGAGAATAATAATAAATATAAGTGAAACTGCTTTTGATGTTTTCTCACTTTTGGAACAATCGATATTTTAATTTCATCAGTTAGGTATGTATCAGAGAGAAACATTGTGTGCTTTCTCTATTTTACTTACAACTTAACAGTGATAATCTATTTATTCTGGGGTTTATTTGCATAAGTCAATTCTTATGAGCTTTTTCTGCTGTTAAACACGAAAAGGAGAGTCGAGAAAATAAAAGAAGCTGCTGAGTGGAAAAGTCAGTAAGCTGATAAAGGTTATTTCATAGATTTCACGAAGAGTTAGACTTTCATTTAACTTCACTAGAGTTTTTATGAACCCTAACTCCGTAGCTAACAACATTCTATAAGGTTAGTAGTGACTTTTAACAAGTAGAATGTCTATTTGAGGTATAGGGAATATATTTATTAGTGATTCAACACAAAATACAAAATCAGCGGTACTGAATATCACTTTCTTCAGCAACGGATCCTACGACGTCACAGGAACTACAGATTAGCTAAAAAAGAAAACAAGGGTTCACATGAATATAACTGCTAATACAATCACTAACGAATTAGCACAGTAAGAATTAATGAAAGTTTATATTAATGTGCGATTACATAAGTTGCTCTGTGCATCCGGGATGACATAGGGATCAGGTCAACGTTGTCAGAAGCTCATGACAGCGGCACCAGTGAAGCCGCAAGTTGCATCATTAACTTAAACAAAGGCACTTTAACGATCGGAGTTATTTACAGAAGTCCTGCTAGCCAAGCTGATGACTTCGTTCTAAATCACTTGAGGGCGTGGGGTAGTAGAAATAGGTGTCTGATTGTTGGCGACTTTAACGCTCCACATATTAATTGGGGGGAATTAAACTCCACTAGTTTGTATACCTGTTTCAATAGGGAGCTCACATTGACAGTGCTTGAATGTGCACTCGTGCAACATATGCATGCACCAACACGGTATCACCCTGAACATGATCCATCTACTCTAGACTTGGTATTGACACACCAGAAGGAGGACGTTGGTAACATTAGGTGCCTTCCGCCGCTTGGCAGCAGTGACCACATAGTCATTGCTTTTACGTTTAGGATTCATTCTCTCATGCACAGGCCAAAATCTGCTCGTCCAAACATTTGGAAAGCGGATATACAAGGAATCCGGAACGCAGCAACTGCGGTTGACTGGTCAGTTGATACAAGTCGGACTGTCGAGGAAGCTTGGGTAGGATTTAGGAATACACTAGATCGTGTCACTTCACCTTTTATACCTTGGTACACTCCTCGAAAGCCGTCGCATGAACCTCCTTGGATCACTAGTGAAATAAGGAGGTTATTAAGACGGCGAAAGAACTTATGGGACCAATTTGTTATGACAGGAAGGGAAAACTTCCAGAAAGACTACCGCAAAACTCGAAACCTCTGTAAGTATGCGATTAACAAGAGTCGTATAGAGTACGAGAGACGATTAGTACTAGATTGCGTTCATTACCCAAAAAGGTTTTACTCGTATATTAAACGTAGGACTAAAACTAGCAGTGGTATACCGTCACTCATAACCATTAGTGGAGAAGCGGCTGAGTCAGACGAAGGAAAGGCTGAAAACCTCTCTGAATACTTCTGTGACGTCTTCTCGTCTGATAGTACCACCCAGGGATATGGCGAGGTCACTGCCATCGCCACTCAGATGCCCTCAATTGTGGTAGAGCACACAAAGGTTCTCAAACTACTGTCTAAACTGAAGCCAGGTAAATCACCTGGGCCGGATGGACTTCACCCTAAGCTGTTAATTTCCTTGGCGGATATAATATATATTCCGCTTACGGAGATTTTCCAAATGTCTCTGACGCAGGCTAAGCTACCCAGGGACTGGAAGGATGCCATTATAAGCCCTATCTTCAAGGACGGGGATAGGCAATTGGTATCTAACTACAGGCCGGTAAGTCTGACATGCATTATTGCAAAGGTATTGGAAACTATTATAAGGGATCAACTATTAGCTTATGTTGAAACACATGGCTTGTTGGCTGTGGAACAGCATGGATTCCGACCAGGACGATCCTGCTTGACAAACCTACTATTGGCTAGGGAAGACTGGGTTGAGGCCAGAGATAGGGACCATCTGTTGGACGTGGTTTTTATTGATCTTAGCAAGGCGTTCGACAAAGTATCCCACTTAGGTCTCCTTAGTAAACTGAAAGGTTTCGGACTAGACCAATGCCTATGTGAGTGGTTTAGAGATTACTTAATGGATAGAAGGCAGAAGGTTAGAGTTAATGGTGTACTATCAGGATGGAAAGCAGTATCCAGTGGAGTGCCCCAGGGAACTGTATTAGGTCCATTGCTATTCCTATTATACGTTAACGAATTACCAGGGATTCTTTCTTCATCTTCATTATTATTTGCAGATGACATTAAGATATGGAAAACTGTAAACAATAACGAGGATAGGTTGGCCCTACAAACTGATTTAGATAAATTAGCTGAGTGGTCAAGCCTATGGAGTTTG